GAATCATACTGTATTTTTAAATTAAAATATATCTTGGACATACTTCCTAATACATGTAGACTGATAATATTTTAAATTTCTTAAATACTTTTTAACTGCACAGTAATTATATATATTTATGCAGTTCAGTGTGATATGTCAATACGAATACAAAGACTATGTTCTTTTTAACAGTACCACAGCCCTCATCTCCTCCTGACCAATGGACATTCATCTTCCTCACCCATAAACCTCTGCAACCACATGTATTTTCTCAGGAGGAAAACTGCTGGGTATACTACATGTGTTTTTTAAAGCAACCACCTCAGAAACAACTATGACCATTATCCCCAAACTGTCTCCAAATAGAATGTGTTGACGGATACTGCAACCAACAGGGAATAAAAGTGTTGTCAACCAAACTTGTTATTTTCCTGTATTATATTCATTTTCTCACTTAATTCTGTTAGGGGTTCATAATACACAGAACGTTTTAACTTTTATGTCATCTGCCCAAGTGCTTTCTTCTGTGGCTTATACAGGTCATTCCCAAGATTCTATAAATATTCTCCTATACTTTCCTTTAATATCTGTCTGAGGGGGAGGAGGGAACAGGAAGGAGACATAAAAAGAAGATATGCCATGTCCATGTACCAACTACCCGTAATGAATGTAGATCAGCATGTACTGCAAACAGGCACTAATAAAAATAAATATATCTTTTTAAGTTTTTATTTAATCATTAACCTTTCTATAATGTATTTATTATGAATAATTTTGCTAAAAGGATGGCCCATTGCTTTTGTAATTCTATATCAATACCAAATTTATAATTATTCTTTATGATGGCTCCAAAATTAATCGCCTGTGCCCTAGTTTTGGTGTCTAAGAGAAATATCTGAAAAAGCTGCACTACTAATCTATTTAAATGAAGGACTATCAAAGTGATCATTTTTCTTTGAGATAGAGTCTCACTCTGTAGTGCAGGCCAGCCTTAAGTTCTATATAGCCCAGACTGGCCTCAAACTTGTGGTGATCCTCCTGCCTTAGCCTCTGATGTGCTGGGATTACAGGTGTACACCACCACACTTGGTTATCAAAAATAAATTTAAATTCAAATGATTTAAGCACTACCAACTTAAAGGCATGTAGCATCAAATATAAAGAATATAATAATAAATACTTCTTAGAACTTACCAATTGATCTGTTATCCATTTTCCTTCCATAGCTTTTAATACTCTAGGGGGGAAAGTACACAGACAATAAGCTCTTCAAACTAATAAAATTTTGTGAAAATCAACTTTTTAAAGTACTTAGAAACAGCTGGCCAAGGGACTTGCCATGACAAGTGTTTTCTCAATTCCTCTCTCTACAATTACTCAGTCCCTTCCCTTTGCACTGCTGATACTGCCCAGAGCCTTCATACACATCCACAGCGTTGACCTTTGACCAAGGCCTGGCCTTGTCCTCAGAACTCCCTCAGCCACAGTTCATGTGAGCTACACAAGAACTCAAAGTCTAAGATAGTGTGGTTAGCGCCCCCAAGAAATGGGACAGAGCAGCACCTCTGAAAATGTATCCTATGGAACACGGAACGTTTTATAGAATAAAGTGTTCTATGGGGAGAAAAGTTTCTGTGACTGAGTCAGCTACAGAAACAGTTGAGTTAAACAAATTCAAGTTTCTCTAAAGCAGAATTTCAGGAGACCTAATCTACTCATGAATGTGTCTGTCAGACACGGCAGACCCTCCTAAAACTTCAGACCCTACTTTAGGATTCCATAAGACACCAGCTGTTCTCGCCAGCAGAGGACAGACGGTGGAAGGAAAGCACTGAGGCAGGCAATCTGTGCACCACGGCCAGAAAGGCGAACTCCCAGTCTATCTGCAGAAAGTGACTGGGGTCAGTGTGGAGCAGAAAGTTCTGCAGGACAATTCTCAAACACAGGGGCTGATTCATCAAGTGCTCATTAGCAACTCCGATTCTCAGGCTGCAGCCCAGACCTGAGTAAAGAGTGGGTAAAGAACAATTGCAAGATGCTGCGCTTTTCAGCATTGCTTTCGTTAGTGGATTTGGATACAGCTATCTGCAGACCACGCTGTGCAAAACTGACACAGAAGGGGAAAGGTAAATCAAGGTAGGAAGGTCCTATTGGGGCCGCCAGTGCTAATTTCAATCTAATCAGGCCCACTGTTGTGGGACCATTTGCCAAGCAATGCCCAGGCAGCAGCCCTTATTACACTCAGCAAGTTCCTGCTGCCTACCAGGCCCTAGGTCTGAATCTAGCACTTTCTGAAACCTGATACTCTCTCCTGTGGCACTTCTCCCAGAAGCACTCCTTTCCCACACTCAGGCAAGACTACGGCTAAATTCAGTGTGTTACCAATCCATGCACAGCAGTACCTCAGTTCACGAGCTTAATTTGTCCCACGATTCTTGTTGTGAACTGAATCAAATTTCCCTGTAAGATTCAATGTCACCCAATGCGAACTTCCCAAATGGAAGCAAATTTTTGCTGAATGCGCTTACAAAAAGAAGTGTTTTGGATCCTTGGCACTGCTGTACTGTATTTGCATACCACGACAATGAATTAAACCAAGTTGTGTCAGATAGCCTCCACGAATTAAAAACCAAAAACTCACTCTTTCTGAAATTCTTCTTGCTTGCTCTTAAGTCGGCTTAACCTTTCCTTCTTGTCAATAAACCTGTAAGAAAATAATACAATGTTTTATTTAGATGTTCATTTTTCTCAGTCCCATAAGATTAGACAAGCTCCTAAAAGCTGATCACACCTCACCATCCAGAAGTAAACACACATCTTTTCAGTGAGATACACACAACTGCTTACCAATGAGTATTTTAAAACTAAATTCCAATCTTCACCTTTAAAAGCCTTTCCGAGGCTTCTAAAATGTTTGCACATTCTCCCCAACCACAGATTAAATTATTTTCCAAAGCATGCACATCAGAACACCAAAGTGAATTTGGATTCAAGGTGACTGAAGCTTTTGTTACAAAAATAATTTTAGTGCCAGGTGTGGTGCAGCACACCTGTAATCCCAGCTCTTGGGAGGCTGAAGCAGGAGCATTGCCATGAGTTTGAGGCCAGCCTATACTACACAGTGAGCTCAAGGCCAGCCTGATCTACATAGCAAGACCCTGTCTAAAAAAAAAAAAAAAAGAAGAACCCCAAAAATTTAATTACGGAACTTAATTTAATCCTCCCCCATAAATTAAGTCCTTGTTATTTTTGAAGTACTATATTTGTCATTAAAAATTGCTAGTCATTGTAACTAACAAGTTACTCAATAAAAGATTTCAAAAGGAAGGAATATAAAAGTGCTGTTAATTTTCTGGATGTCTTCTAACCTTTTCATCCTTATTTTCTTCTTGCTAATTTATTTTGGGTTTAATTTGTCTTGTTTTCAGTTTAATGTGGCAACCTACATTACTGATTTTAAGCGTCTCTTTCTCAAAAGTTTAATTTACTTATTTAAACTAGTATCAAGAAACCTTAAAAATTATTCTTATTAATGGGCCACCATAGGATGTTTCCATACATGTATGCCTTATAAACGCTTAAAACAGGTTAACCGTATCTCCACAAACATCAGTTCTTTATGGAAAAGCATTTGGGGTCCTTTCATCCAGGCTGTGAAATACACCACACGCTACTGCTGCCCACAGTTACTCCGCTGTGCAACAGCACATCAGAGCTTCTCAGCCTCACTGCACGCAGGACCCACCCATCAACCTTTTCCCCTCCCTCCCTGGCTTCTGACAACCACCATTCTCTTCTACTCTACTTCCTGTCATCTCCTGCTTTTAAAGATTCCTCATTTAACTCTGAATCTGGCTTATTTTGCTTCTCTTCAGTTCTACCCATTTTCCCAAAACAACAGGGCTCTGCTCTTTATGGCTAACACTCCACTGTGACCTATTTCCATGTTTTCTTTACCCACTCATCTGTTGAAGGGCACCCAGAGCTTATCTATTTGACCTGCACAGCAAGAAATGTGGATTTGCAGGCGTCCCTACACTATGCTGACAAATTCTTTCAGGATATAGTGACGAGTGTTACAGCTGAATGAAGAGGAATCTCTATGCAGGGTTTCTTAGGAATCTATGTTCCAATTTCCATGGTGGTTGCAGTAGTTTACATCCCCACCAACAATATAGAAGGGTTTCTTTCTCTTACATTCTCAAGAATATTTATGTATGTATGTATGTTTTGTTTGTTTGATTTGTGGGGTTTTCTTTGGGGGGTAGGGCAACAGCTTCACTCTGTAATTCAGGCTGGCCGTGAACTCACTATGTAGCCTCAAACTCATGGAGATCCTCCTGCTTCAGTCTACCGAGTGCTGCGATTACACGTATGCACCACCACACCTGGCTCTATGTATAGCCAATCTGACTGGGGTGACACAGAATCTCAATGTAGCTTTGATTTGCATTTCCCTAATTACTGAAGATGTTAAAAATTGTTTTATATATGTATCAGCTCTTTGTACTTCTGTTGAGACTGTCTATTCATTTGTCCTTTAATTTGTTGGCTAGGTTATTTGTTGAGGTTTGTGTGCATGTAAGTGTGTCTTAAATTTTCTGAGTCCTTTATATATTTTTCAATATTAATCTTCTATTAAAAAAAAACTAGCTTGCAAAGATTTTCTTTCATCTTGTAGGCTGTCTCAACAGAGTATTTCCTCTGTTGTGCAGAAGCTTTTTATCTGATGTAGACTCATTTGTTAATTCTTGATCTTATTTCTTGTGCTGTTTGAGTCTTATTCAGGAAGTCTTTCAAGGGGACAAAAATAATGACCCAAGGAATAAGGATAGGAAAGGAAGAAGTGACATTATCATTATTCACAGATGACATGATACTCTACATAGGAGACCTCAAAAACTCCACCAAAAGGCTTATAGATTTAATAACCAAATTCAGTAGTATAGCTGGATACAAAGTCAACACTCAGAAATCAAAAGCATTCCTGTACACAAACAACAAACAGACTGAGAGAGAAATTAGGGAAATGACACTTTCACAATAACATCTATAAAAAGTAAATACTTAGGAATCAATCTAACAATGGAAGTAAAAGATCCATGAGGTAAAAATTACAGTACTCTGAAAAAAGGGATCATAGAGGACTTCATAAAACGGAAAGATACTCCTTGCTCATGGAGAGGAAGAACCAACATTGTGAAAATGGCCATGCTCCCAAAATTGTCACACAGATTCAATGCAATCCCAATTAAAATACCATTAGCATACATCACAGATCTAGAGAATACATTCCTAAAATGCATCTGGAACCAGAAGAGGCCTAGAATAGCAAAAGCAATCTTGGGAAACAAAGGAAAGGCAGGAGGCCTCAGAATCCCTGACTTGGAAGTTACATTACAAAGCTACTGTGATAAAATCATTACGGTACTGGAAAAAAAAAAAAAAAAAAAAAAACAGACCTGAAGATCAATGGAACAGATTAGAAAATGCAGACACAACTACAAACACACTCAGCCACCTTATCTTTGACAAAGGGTTCACTGGAAGAAAGATGGCCTCTTTAATAAATGGTGCTGGAAAAACTGGCTTTCCACGTGCTGAAGACTAAAACTAGATACATGTCTATCATCACGCACAGAACTAAAGTCAACATGGATCAAAGATCTAAATATTAAAACAGAAATATTACATCTATTGGAAGAGAAAGTAGGTAGAAATCTTGAAGACATAGGGGTAGACAGAGAGTTCATGAATAAAAACAACACTGCATGGGAAATACTTCAAAGAATCAAGAACTGGAATCTTATCTGATTGAAAAGTTTTTGCACATCAAAAGCAATTACCAACAGAGTAAAAAGAAAACCCATGAATTAGGAAAAAGTTTTAAGTTTAAAAAGTTTTAAAAGTTTAGCCAAGTGTCCCTCAGATAAAGCACTTCTATCCATGTAAAGAATTTTTAAAAATCAGGCCCCCAAAATTCAAAGACCGAATCCAAAAATGGGCATCTGAGATGAATACTCACTTCTCAGATGAAGAAATACTAATGGAAAACAAATATATGAAAAAATGTTCAATATTTTTATTGGTCATTCAAGAAATGCAAATTAAGACAACACTGAGATCCCATCTCACCCCAGAAAGAATGGCTATCATCAAGAAATCAACCAATAACAAATGCTGGCGGGGCTGTATGGAAAAAAGGAACCCTTCTTCACTGCTGGTGGGAGAGTAGATTGGTGAAACCACTGTGGAAATCAGTTTGGAGATTCCTCAGTAAACTAGGATTAGAGGTCCTACTTAACCCAGCTATTCCCTTTCTGGGTATTTTCCCAGAAGAATTAGAAACATCATACCACAGCAAGGTATGTGCACCCATGTTTATAGCAGCACAATTTGTCACAGCTAAATCTTGGAAACAACCCAAATGCCCATCAACTGAGGAACAGATAAAAAAGATGTGGTATTCTTATACAATGAAGTATTACTCAGCTATAAAAAAGATAAACTCAAGGCTTTTATAGGTAAATGGATGTAACTAGAGACCATACTCATAACTGAAATAAGTCAGACCCACATGTGTAAACATCATATTGTCTGAAAAAGTAAATAAAACCCAAAATGTACAGTAGATATTATGAAAGGGAAAGAAATTGCTCAAAGGAAAGAACAACTGGGATGAGGGGAGGGAGAAAAAGAAAGAAGGAAGGGAATACAGATAGATAGATAGACAGGATAATTGTATTGATGTCTGGTAGTTTATTGAAAGGAACAGTTAACGCTTAATTTTTTTGACCAATTTTGCACGTTTATATCTGGTAATCTGAACAACTAATTTGAAGACAAAAATATACAATATAACAACCATTGGTGAATTCCTACCATCTGCTTAGTAAAGCTCTTTATCGTTTCTAAATTTTTTATTATTTTTTATTCTCTTTAATGGTTTGATCAATCTTGCATTCTTCCATCTGGTAATCTGAGCAACTTCACTGAAGATAACAATGTGTAATATAACAACCACTGTTAATTTCTATCATTTTGTTTTGAAACCCTGTATGATTTTCATTGTTTTCTTTTGTTTTGTTTTTGTCTATGTTGTTGTTTTATTTTTTATCTTTAAAGTAAAAAAAATTTTTAAAAATTTTTTTAAAAACTTAAAAATTTTTTTAAAAAAATAATGACCCAGGGGCTGGGGATTTAGCTCAACGGCACAGCACCTGCCTGGCAAGTGCAACATCATGAGTTCAATTCCCGGTACTGGAAAAAAAAAAAAAAAAGAAAAAAATAATGACCCAAGACCATGATACCAGCTTTTGGCTACCTCTTATGAATTCCTAGCACAAATGAAAACAATTTTCAAAATTTTCAGTCTTTCCACGTAATTATTCCATAACACAACATAATTAATTATTGGTCAACTAGAAACTATGCTCAATCTAAAATTAAAAACAATTTAACAGAACCACCATGGGCCTAAAACTAATCTGGACAAAATCACCTCTCTAAAATACTATTTCTATAGCCCTCGTGTTTGTTTTCTTGGGCTTCTTTACTTTTTTATTTTAAAGGGTAAAAGAAGGATAACATAGTAAAGCGAGGCTTACCGAATTACAGACAAAGTGGTAGGAAATTATCAACGGTTGTTGTTTTACATATTGTTATCTACAATATAGTTTCGCAGGAAAACAAATAGACAAATAA